TGCAGTCGACTTTACCATTATCACAAACCTATACACCTACTTACACAGTAGATGTAAAAAAAACACATAGACGCACAAAAACTTAAGAATGCTGAGAAAACAGATACTTTTTGTCCCTATCTAGAACGCAAACCCAAGAGCCAAATGTATACCTTTTGAGTCAACGGGATTGGCGGTAGGCGGGGCTTCGAGGCGAAATAAGGCTAGGGAAGAATGATCAAAGAGCACGCTCGCGAGAGAAACGCAGACTGCGTCGCGGGTGTTAGCGGTTGCCTTTCAGCGGCAATCCCGTTAGATCAAATGTTACCTAGTATTGTATCAGGTCATTCGGAAAGTTTTTTCGTTTTCGCAGCTTTAAATTCAAACGAGCACAACTTTTTCCAAATTCAATTTTTTTCTTCCAAATAAACTTCATTGTGTTCAGCAGAATTCTGGTAACATAATTGTGGTGTTCGTGTGCTTTTTTCTCGCGAAATTATCTTAGGGGAATTAATAAAACCCAAAAAGGCATTTTTGACAAGCTAATTTTTATTAGGTCCTATTATTTTTTAATAGGCACCGAGGAAAAGGAGAATCTGGTGACTGATAAAGGAAGGTCCATGGAGTTCGAAAAATGAACAGGAACCTCTGTGCGCGGTCAACCCCTTCTATGAGGGTTACTTTTCTTACATGTGATTTGAGGCGTCTTGGGCGAGGATGGCACCTTTCATAGGTTATACGTGCAAGTCTGCTCAGTTTTAAAATTTTGACAAACGGTTTTTAGAGCGATATCATACTACTCTGATCTTACACCACAACCACATCTTAGCAAATTTATAGCGTGCAAGACTAGCAGGATTTCATTAATTTGAGCACATCAAGCTTTTGTAATGACTTACTGTTCATGGTCATGCTTGCAATGCTTGTTCTAAATGATTTACCTCATTGTTGCTTCCTTTAGCTGTACTTGGCCAATTTTTTGTTGTAATTATCAATCCAGGCCAGAAAAAGAATTGCTCCGTTAAATTATGAGAAACAAAGCAGAAGTCATCAACGCACCCTCAATCTGCGAGTACGACAATTTGTGAGGTGTTTGCCACTAATATTTTTTGGTATTGCAGCTCTAGCGATGGTGGCTTCAAATGGGGCTATATGACACTACAAGGCTTGCTGATAGTTTTAGGCAGCTATATTGGCGATTTGCTTTAAAGGACCCCTTGAGATGCTCGTTTAAATGGCAGAAACACCTTCTAGAACAGTGTACAACATTAGCTTTCATTTCTCTAGATCTGGACTTCTTGAAGCAGGCTTCAACCAACATCAAGAAAGACGTGGTCTAACAAATGCATTGCGCACAGTGATGGCTTCTTTGTCTGCCTTACACTCAAGACTGAGCTTAAAGAGTGCAATTATTCGAAAATCGTTTTCATATATCGAATTTATAGCCACGTAAACTTCCCTACAAAGCGTTTTCTGCAACTTCGGTGAGATTCTCAGAGACTAGAAGACTTCCTCTACAATTTCTTATATAGCAACCCCTATCAGCCCTCGCACTCTCTTAAAACATGGCACCAACATCAAAGGCGCAAAAAGCGAAAAAAAACTTTCCAAATGACTCAAAAGTACAGCACAATTCTGTGACGTTGAAAGCAGTGGCTCGGCAAATCTCAACCTAGTCAAATTTGCGCTTACCTGGGGTTTTTCAATACACTGATCCCGAAAATCCACTTTTTAAAGCTTGAAAACGGCGAAAATGAGGGTTTTTCAATGCCCTTCCCTTTGATATTGGACGAGTGGAGCAAGGCCGATGACGCTAAATCGTGGCAGGATCCAATGGTTATAGCTTGCGGCGGGCAGCCTATAATAGTGAGAAGTGCCAACTCGTCCAGATGCGTGTAAGATTGGCGTGCGCGTGTAAGTTTGAGAGCGATTTTCTCGGCGGGAAAAGCATGCTGTGCAACCGGGATTGCATTGTTTTCATAGTTGGGCGATAAGGAACCCTCTGCGTAAAAGTTGTTGGATTTTGCCGATCCACTGCCTTTGAGTGGGAAGTCTGCACTAGTTACTCATGAACTCAAACTGAGAGGGGTGCTTGCTCGGTACAATCAAAGCGTCATCGACAGAGCTAGCATCCATAAGCATATGAGCGTGCAAAAGCTTATCAGCCTCTACCGAACGCACATCATGCCGTTCAGCGATGACAGGAGCTTGACAGCCGCATTTGCGACGCTTTGGCACGATAAACTATCTGCCTTCGTCAGGGACAAGCCTTGCAATACAATTCAACCGTTTCTACTAAATCACTGATGTCGGAGTTTCAATAATGTTGTTCTACTATCACTTATCCTGAGAATCAGATTCACTGACGAAATGACAACTTCTACTACTTTTCCACTTTACAGGAGTTGGCGCAGGAAGGTAAGTAAGCATGTTGATTACTAACAAAGCGGAACAAAGTGCCATGTAAAAGTGGGCACAGGGAAAGGTCGTACGAGGATAGAAATGGGACCTCTTCACAGTATTTTGACAGAGCCGGGCGGAGCCCAGGTAAGCCAATTAATGCTCTCCACTAAACTTTGGTTGCAGAGATAAAGAATGGAAAAGGAAATTTTTAGATTTGGATTTGAGGCAAGAACTTCAAAAAATTCAAAATCTGTGCGATAAAATCAAAGAGCCAAATGTCATAAGTTTTTCGGCTTCCTCTTTTGACAGTGCTTGTGCTGATGAACTTTTCTATGAAAGCTATGCTTTCCTAGATAAATGCCGAAACAACAATTTCCCAACCTCGGAATTTTCTCCAAAATCATGGGCTCTTTGCGTCTTATTGCACAATTTTTGGATTTCCAAAAGCTCGCCTCAAATAACAGAGCCTCAAATAATCTTCACTTTTAATTTTCATCTCTACAGTTAAAGCTTAATGGAATGTATTCACAGTTTCTTCAAAAAGTTGATTATTTACCCTGCCTAACAAAATTAAAGTCAAGCAAGAACATCGTGGCAGAAGAAGTTGCGAATTCTTGAATGAGACACAGAACTTTCGGATCGACCTGATATTCACGAGGCACAGGTACTGCACTCAGTACAGTGTATATACGCCCAAGGGCTAACGAAAAACCAGCAAGAATAGAGTGAGTGCACATGCTTGCGCTTTCTTCCATTTTTCCAATGTTCACAGTTTACAGAAATGAAGTTGAGCTGTTTTACTCATTCTGGAGTAATTGTTCGACATTTGTAATGCCCACACTCAAAATAGGGTAACTTGGTCTGGTGTCATGCTCAATTGTACACGTATCCTTTATGTCCAATGTCGCCCTGATAGAGCTGTAACCTTTGATTCATCGGGACTGAGGCTGGAAGGCGGCCGCTGCGCCTATCTCGCGAACGCTCTGTGATCATTCTCTAGCCTAGATTAGGCCTCGAAGCTTCGCCCCAGGCCAATCTTGCATCAAAAGGTATATGGCCAGTTAAGACATATAGATTAAGATTTATTCAATTTCCATAACACCACATCGGCATCTTCCGCACTTCTTCTCAGTCGCTGCTATTCTATCTCATTGAAATTCAAATTACGTTTCCGGTTAAACTCTGAGAATGCTACGATAAGATTCTTGATTTTGAAAAATCAGAGAACACGACTCACTTCGACAGAAAAGGTCACAATTTTTTGGAGATTTGAAGAATTTCTTCTCAATAAGTTTGATTTTAGGGGGCATGAGCGGGCAGAAGTATCTGCTGGAAGAGTGATACGTGGTTAGAGTTTGCACTGAATAAAGTTTTAAGTGATTTACCCTCCTCGATCCTTGTCACAAAGCATTGCTCTTGGCCCTAAAACATGTTGATGATTTTGAGTATTGCTTTTCGCAAAATGTCTTTGTGAATAAACAAAAAATCTGCTTCTCAAGCTGAATACTCAATACTGTTCAGTTTTTTATGCAATAAAGACCAGTAGATTGCTGCATTCATAAGGAAGACTAAGACCTCCTGAGATAAAACATCAAACTCGAACAGTTTTGCCCTGGCCAGTTTGTGGCACTTTTGTAAATTCGGTTGGGTTTTGAGCAAGATTTTGGGATCACTTTACGATGCCTTCAACATTCCCAATTTGTTTTTCTCAAAATTCGGATGATTACTGGATTGTAAGACGCACGTCAGAAAATTGAGAACTCTTTGATAGAGTTCTGCGGAAGGAAAAGATCTTCGTTCAGAAAATGTGTAATTATATCATATCTCACCGTAATTTCCTTTACTGCTGGAAAGGAGAAGAGGCTACTTATGAATTATTTATCTAGGGATGGCGTAAAGATGTTTATACCTTCATCGGCCTACAGAACTAATTTTAGATCTATTTTCTTAGTCTAAAAATTCTAAATATATCTCATTTTTATGTAAAGCTTGTAAATCAAAAAACCAACGCAAAGAAATGCATCAACTAACCTTCTAATGGTGGTAATGGGCCCAACGTTGGTGCCCCGGAAGAAGTAGTGGTCGTCGCGCTGGTAGCACTTATTATCGTAGTTGTCGCGTTGGTAGTAGGCGATGTCGTGGTTGTACTCAACGTTATTGTGCTTGTTGTTGCTGTTGTTGTTGCGCTAGTAGCAGGCGTTGTCTTTTTCGTCGCGCTGGTAGTGGGTATTGCAACCGTAGTTGCGTTGGTAGGAGGTGCTGCCGTAGTTTTCGCATTGCTAGCAGGTGTTGTCATTGTTGCCGCGCTAGTAACAGTTGTTGTCGCTGCTGTCGCGTTGGTAGTAGGTGGTGTTATCGTGGTTGTCGTCAGTGTTGTTGTGCTTGTTGTTGCTGTTGTTGCTGTTGCGCTGGTAGTAGCTGCTGTCGTTGCTGTTGCGCTAGTAGCAGGTGTTGTCGCTGTTGTCGCCAATGTTGTTGTGTTTATTGATGGTGTTGAATTGGTTCTGCTCGGTGTCAAAGCTTTCGTAGGCGTCGGTGGTGTAGGCGTTGGTGTTCGTTTCATGTACTCTGTATTTATATCGTTATATGTAACTCTACAATGAGATGGCTCTACAGACTTACGACGGCACCATTTCTCGCACTTCGTAATGTTTCGAAAAATTTTCCATGGAAAGGTAAAGGCAGGTAGGAATGGACAGTAGTATCTCAAAAGTCAAATGATTTATATAGCCAGAAGCAATATCCGTCATTGTCTTACAATAGCAATTTTTTTAGTCTTGAAACTTACATAAGTTTTTTTATTGATTTGCATAGCTTCTTTCTTCCTAAAAAAACACTTTTTGAGCTTGGTGCATATTATATCAATAACCACATAACGAGAGTCTATCGTTTAGTGTTGGTAGCTGCAGGAGAAATTCCTCAACCCTATCCCGATTACCTCATGTCAACTGACACGAACAATGACAAGTAATTTTGTAAGCCTCAAAAAATCAGCAAACAACTTTTTTGTCGATAGACACGCCAAGTAAAACGCACAGGCAGCATGTCAAGAATAGTATTGCAGCTCTACCTGAATTTACCTGATGTTTAAATAACTCATCTAACTCTTATCCCACTATCAAATCTCTTTTAACATGAAAAACAATTTTAATGTATCAAGCTGTTCCCTTTTTGCTACAGGTCCAAAATGAGGAGAATTTTAATCGATTTCGATGCAATATCTTGCAAAAAACCCCAAAAAGTGCTCCTTCGAAACTTGCTTGTTTTTCCAAATTTCGTCATATGAGCAATGCTGTTCAATTCATGAAAAATGTTCATATTGATACTAGTGAGCCTGTCGTTTAGCCCAAAAATAGAAACAACTAGTGTTTGTAAGTATAGCTGGGACATGGATTCCCGTAGTTTTTATAATTGAGAGACCAAAAATTCTGGTACTAGCCTTGTGTTCTCATCGTAGATAAGTCCTTGCCTGTAGTAGTGCTTGAAGCAGTAGTGTTTGCTTCTCCATGTGACGTCGTTGATGGCAATAGTGCCATTGCTGTAAATAACGATCGTTATTGGGTCTTCTGTCTAGGAATACTAATGTACGAGTTGAGAATTTACATTCTGTCGAAGTCCACTTCTCGGAGGTGCTGAAGTTAGAGGTGGTCGAGTGCGTTGTATTTCCAGTGGACGCTGATGTCGCTGTAGTTCCTGCTAAAGACGAAATATTCGTTTATTTGCAATCTGGAGCCCAGTGAACAAGCCAACACACCGATTGTTGTTGGTTGACCCGTGACATTAGCGATGGTAGGACTAGAGCTTGCTGCAGAGCTCGACGAATCCAACGATGTTGATGCCATGGTTGCTTAAATCACCAGTAAATTTTTTATTATAGATTGACAGTTACATACAAGTCAACGCTCTCGTATCTGTGGTAGTACTGAATTTGAAAGCAGGAGACTTTGTTGCATTAAGCGACGGTGTAGTTATCGTTGCCACTTTCGCTGTTGCTAGAATTATTATTTATCCGCGCTGAAGATGTAGGTTTTTACAAACTATTGATAAATGACGCTATGGCATCGTCCGCAGTGCTAGTGGGTCACATAAGAAACAATTGTGTTTGTGGGAGGTTTTTCCATTGTAGTTGTTGACGATTTATTGGCCCTTTAGCTGCAAAATTTGAAAAGAAAAAATTACCGTTTGCCGCCTTCGAGCCGTTTGCGGCACTACTACCAAAGGTAGTGAGAGCAGTTGCGAGCGAAGGCGCTGTTGATTCAGAAGTTGTTGTTTTTGTAGTCAATTGTGTAGATGCTGAACTTGTCGCCATTTTGGTGGCAGAGCTGTCACGATCACTTCCAAGCAAAAGTTACTCAACACGTTGTTGCGTTCTTCTCTGTAGTGGCACTGCCAGTGGTATAGCTTGTAACGTTTGTTGTGCTTCTCGTTGATGTCAAAGGCTCTGGCGTTGTTGACGACACTGTAATCGTAAGTGAATGAATGCCTAGAATGTAAAAGTTTTTTAAGGATCTTTGCCGGCTTTGATAAGGAGAGCTACCTGACTTAGCTCGGCCTCCTGATAAGGTGAAAATATATCTGGACAGCTTCAAACGCTGACTCCAAATATGTTTCTAGCTGCCGCGCGCCGTCATGGCTTTTTCCTGCGCAAAGTGACATATTACTGAATGTGGGAAGACTGCCTGTAAATAAAAATCTGAAGAAAAAGGTGCTAAGATATCGAAATAGTACAAATTTAATCTTTCCTCACTGAAAATAATTTTAACGCAAGTGTATTAGAACTTGGATAATGATGCCGTGATCCCAGTGAGCTGATGAGTATGCGAATTTTGTGCAGGAAAAAGCCTATAACTCACTTCGGAATGGGGCGCGGCAGCTAGCAATAGCATATTTGAATCAGCGTTAGGAGCTGATCCAGGGGCCGAGCTGAGTTGGGTACTTTCCCTTGTGAGTAGTGTGACAGTTAATATCGTTGGGATAGCTGTAGATGAGAGTGAATAAACGGTTTTCAATACTGTTGTTTTCAATTGCAAATCATATAGAAACCAAAGCGGCTTGTACAGCTTCTCGTCCCCATCAATTCTCTTTATAATAAAGGATAGTGGAAACACTTTGGATAAGCGGTACGAAATCGAGAACTTCAGAACAATTTCGGAATATGAAGCTTTGCTCTAAGCTGCGGTCCTCTCCCCAGCGAGAATGTTAATGTATGCGACTATGTAGACATGGATTAGGCTGAATTGCTTACTTTTCTCCAAAAGGAATTATGCACTGTTTCAAAGATGCATACGCATGGTATACGAACGCGCAAAAGGCTTTTTTAGCCCATCTATAAGTATTGGGTTGGCACACAAGTAATACGACCTCTTTTATAATTTTTACCTGAATATGGCACGTTCTTTGGTCTTATAGTTTCGCCATCGCATAAGAGGGTCACGACTGATTATCGTATAAGATAGAAAATTTTTGATTTAACATTTGCTAGAATTTGGGTGGGGGGGGGGGGGAGTCCATGACATGATTGCAAAAAGAACTCGGCATAGGGGGGGGAGGAGCTTTTAGGCTAAGATACATTATATTAAGCAACAAATAAATGCTTCGTTCGCATTCATTCTCGATTCACGTTCCCGTGCGAAGTCTTGAACAATTATGAGGTCTCGAAGCTCATTTACCGGCTACCACCACAACTTACTTGAATTTTAATTAATTCCAGTCACTCAGATATATTTTCGATACGTTCTGAGATTCGTTCAGGAAGACTACCTTTTTGGTTGACCATCATGGGTCGTAACATCGATTAACACGCTCTTATCTGACCTGGCAGAGATTGTAAAAATTGTCTAGCTGTGAACATGTTGGTAGCAGAGCTGCTGCTTTGTCGGCACACAAATTATTCAGCAATTAATTAACTGGTAGCAGCTGGAGTCGTCGTTGAGGTACGTAGAGTTGAAGTTGCTATTAATAAGGCTGTTGTTAACGATGAGTCTATATGTTTGTACAATAGCTATACACAGTAAAATGATGTAATGTCACATGTATAGGTGTTCTTCATTGCGGGGTTTTCAAATATTTGATTAATGCATTAATGAAGATAATGCAAACGTCGTTATCAATGACATCATTGGAATGTTAGCATAATTGCTTTGCTGCTCTGAGTTGCTTATGAAGTATGCAAAACTTACATTTCATTGTAGACGTCGCACTGGTGTAAGAAACAGTAGGACTTGTTGTTCCTGAAGAAGTTCTTGTCATTGTAGCTGTTGTTGCCTTTGATGACTTTTCGGTGGAAAACACATCAGAAGTTAAGGGAGCCTTCGGAGTTGTAGCTGTTGGCGTTGGCGTTGTTGGAACTGCAGTTATGGTAGTTTTGCTGCTGCATTTTGTCTGGATTGATTGCATACTTGCTTTAAAAAGCTTGAAATTGACCAAACAGGATATCTTTGCATGCGGTGTTATATATGCACACAGCCTTACCTCGATTTTTCGTTGGTGAAAATTTTTAAAAACTAAAACGTTGTAATAATTAAACAGGACGCAACATAAAACGACTGCATTTGACTTTTAGATTTTTCTGGATTCGGCGAAACGATGAGTCAAGCATTTACCATAGCATTTAATGGAATTATTATGATTTAAATTCTTCTGCTAGCTATGCGAAATAGCAGCTACCCACAACTATACAATTAAGAAGTAGAAAATATGGTCTAAAACTTATTTGTGTCGGCAGTACAAAAAAATGATTAGAAGTTGTGATTGTTGGGAGAAAAAACCTGCTTGAATAGTTTATAGCAGTCATTTGTCTGTCAATATGATACATAAATTGAGAATAGCTTTAAGAAGAGATGTAGTTTTCATTTTTTTTTGTCCCTCCCTCATTTTAGCGGATGTCTATAGAGCTGATGTCAAAACACTCTTCTGGTCTGCTAAACTATTCCTCAAAAGGTAAAAGTGCTCAAATGTCTGAGTCTGATAACTACTTTATGGTTACGTTTATCAGGAGGCAACTTACACTTTCCTGGTCACCCTTTTTCCAGAGATCATAACAATAACATTCCATTCTACACACTATGTTGCAATGTTATCGTGTTATAAGCGGTTCTGGTTCTTTTGCAGAATCACTGAGCAGGTAAGGAACGCAGTTGGCACTCAGAGCGAATCTAGTGGTATATTATATTGAGCCCCAGGCATACTTCTCGCGATTTTAGTCCCGAAGCCAGTTGGCAGTACTTAAGTGTCTCTAACTCATCGTAACCGCATTCTTAGCGTACAAAAAATAGAGCATTTCATCAGTTTACAAGAGTTATACATACTATGCATCTTAGTCTGCCAAAGTTGGACTGGATACATCTGGCGATTTACAGATCGCGTGGCGATCAAAATGCGCAAAGTATCCCCGAGGACTTCATCCTTACAGATTACGCCATTGCAAATTGTTATAATACTGTAACATCTTTGTTAAATTGAGAAATTATTTGCTTCAAGTTTTCCCCCTAAACTTCATTGCAGTTGCCCAATAAAGTCAGAGAATTACGTTTAGAATCTGTTGCGTATAGAAGGTGTTCACGCGTAGACGATTATCTCTTTCTTAACACTTTTGATCAGAGATTGGTGAAGCGTGGCTAAAGGGCCGGGCATACACCACACATTCATCGCCCCCGCGATTCTTCCAACAGAGCAACTGTCACGAATCCATTGCTTGCTAATCGTTTTGCATTGCAGTTGTGATAGTTAGCCGCCAGTAGCGTACCCAGAATTTCCGTTCGGGGGGGGGGGGGGAACCACCCAGAAACAATTTTTGATATGCTTCTCAATATTTTCGCGAACCTATAACCCCAAAATTCTAGAAAAAGGGGCATGGCGTCAGCCACGCCTCCGAAAAAGATTACAAGGCTAGATTGAATTTTCGGAAAATTTCAAAAATTCTTTTAATTACTTACAAGTACAAAGAAGTCACTTAAAGATTTTTATAACTTAAGTATGTAACTTTCAGAAACTTCGCCCATTCTCGGGGGGGGGGGGGGGGAGAGGGGGGGCCTTGGTACCCCACTGTTAGGCGCGTTCAGTCGCTGGGAAAACTATTGCAACCATAACGCAAGATGAATAGTATGCAATGAACTCATAAGAGTTCTTGCTGGAGGAATTGCGGAGTGATGGAATCGCGTGATGTATGCCCGGCCATTGAAGGCAGTGACCAGGCAGATTCGCGCCCTGGGGGATATTGCTATGGTGGGATTGCTGGTCATCCCGCTGACCTAAAGGCGCAGTCCGGCTGGTTGATATTCCCTTCTGTGCAGAGGAAATAGCTCTTGAACCGGCGTGCGCTCGACTTCGCTTATCGTTCGGAGTGGGATCCCATGATCGCTCTCTTGCACTGCGTAAGCCATCCAAGCTAAAAATTATAAGCAGCAGAAACTCCGCACCAGAGCCTCCCATGTACTGAAATTCTCGTCCGAGCTACCTTTGGTGGGTAAACTCCCCGAAAAAGGTCTTCTCACCCATTTCAAAGATGAACTGGGGTCTACGGGTCGAAAACGCCCAAAACATGCAAAAAGATGGATAAAGATGAAAGATGATAGATAAAAGATGCAAATTTTGGCAAAAAATATGGAGCAAAATTTTGGGCATTGCTTTCAAGAGAGAACGGTATTTATTTTATGATATAATTAGCAGAAAAGGATCGAATGGTTTGCGATAGTATGAAAGTGAGTTTGAGCAGATAAAGTTACGACTTTGATCACTTGCAGAAGTCAATGTATAAATTAGATAACTTTCGTTTTACCAAAACAAACCTGTACAGAACAGCTTACACAAATCGTAAGTTGTGTAAACAATCTGAATGTACTCCGCTGTACACAAATAAGGATCAAGGTTGTGCTTATTCCAATCGAACATGAAGCCAAAGGATTGACGTCGTCGTGTTTCATATCTTTCATAGAGATCACTCCCTTTGTAACGTATGCACATTGGCGCATCTGAAATTGTGAGTTTTCAAGTCTGCTATCAGACTCAAAAATAATAACTTATCCAACATCACAGACATGCTCAAAAGTTTTCACCCAAGTGCAAAGAGAATAAGGCGTCATGTATTTATGAGAATTACTATTTTTTGGAGTTATGGTATTTATCTGCCTTATCATCATTGTAGCAAAAAAGCTTGCTGGATTCTTTGGAGGAGTTAGTGTTGCCATCCTGTCTTGCGTATCATTCCCATACATTCGTGATTGAGTCCCACAAGAGTCCGCTTACAAAATGGCAAAAAAAGGGTAGTTTTACGCGACAATTTGATTTTATCCCGACCTCAGACGAGACGATGAAATCGCGCGATATATGCTTGGCCATAAGTTCGGGACAAAATCGGATTTTCGTGTAAGATTACCTTCTCAGCCCGGAGTTTAGTTCCGCAAGACTCTTGCGGGACTTACCACGAATGTCTGAATAGTTATAGCTATGATGCAGTTAGGAGTGCGCTAGAATTTTCGTGCAATATATTCCTCTTTTTCCAACACTACCGTTTAAAACTTTCACTTTTGATGAAGTTTGAGAATCTACTGTTGTTTCAAAATCATTTGCTTTTTTGAAAGGTCTCAGGAATCTCGTAAAACAATTACCAAAATGCACTTTAGGACCCCGAAAATGATTCTCGAACTGTTTAAGTTGCTTACACGAGTGAAAAAATATGCAGGGATTGTACTTGTTAATAAAGATAATTCTGAGAATTGTTTGAACTTCCAAATCAGCCTTGTAAAAAATCTTCTGAAATTTTGGGGTATGGGCCCCAGAATAAGAACCAAATTTTTGTTTTATGGCTCGCGCCACGCACCTTTAATCGAAAAATTTTAGTTCGTAGGTTCATCTTACGAGCCTCATCTGACAAGGGAAGGATGGTCGGTCGAAGCGGCCTTTTGCGATGATTTACACGATGTTGGAGGGCGTAAGGTGCTAATTCCAAATGTGTCCTCCTTATCTGCAAAGCGTTCCTAAGGATAGAAGAGGAGTTATGGGCGTTTAAAAGAGCAAAAAAATGAACGTTTTCTGGGATAAACATTTGCAAAAATTTTCCCAGCGCTTGAATGAGACAGCTGGAGCGCGGATTATATCTCATCTAAGAATACTATTTTACAGAGTGCTGCAAAGATTACCAACGGTCCATTTACGAGCTAGGAAAGAGGCTGCTACGTTTTTTATATTATTTACACATCCAATTTTTTTCACCATAACTTCTCGTACAGGACGCCGCAGATAATGAAGACAGATTTGGAATCAACTCATCTCAAAAGGCCACCTGGACCAACCAGACCATCCTTCCCTTGTAAGACGCTCAAGCGATGATTCGGTGTTCAATCCAATGAGCATTTGAAAAAATTGAGAAGCTTGCAGAAGCGCATAATGCCTTTTCATGTCGTGCCTCGATAGTTGCTCAATATCTTCAAACAAGTTAGAGAATTTTTCTTACCAGCTGCAAACGTAGTCGTGTGAAAGAATGCAAAAAGGCACGTTATCCACAAAGTCATTTTTTCTCGAAGGCTCCCACAGCAAGCGCTTATAGAACAAATGATACTCAAATTTTGGAGTCACTCAGATTCTTCTCATCCTGCAAAACGAGTACAGCTTACATACTCCATAAATACCGTGAAATATTGAGCATCAACACGCTTTTCATGAAACCCAACAGGTTCAGCAACTAAAGGGTGAATAGTCGGGTTTCACTTTGTCTTACTTTCAGATAAATCATTGTAATCGAAGAGATAACAAGTTTCTGGTTTTCAAACAACTGTGCATGAGTTGTCGAGTACTATACATCGCCTAAGATATTATAAGACAACATAACATACCGTTTTTGTATTAGGGTGTCCCATAATTTTTTTGACCGTTTTACTATAACCGTCGTTTCTTCGTATTTTTTGTTCAACTGGTGTAGCTTGAGTAATTATTCGACAGATAAAAGAAAACTCTACAAGATGGCTGTGAAGAATCCGCCCGAATCGTATTTCACCGGAAGTTTTGAGCTAAACTCTGATAGCAGTCGAGAACGAACTTTTATTCAAAAATCTTATCTCCGCCCCAAAATGTCTTAAAAATTCCCCATTTATCAGGTTGTCCCATAAGTTCCGCCCGTTTTGGTTTTCAGTCGCAATAAATCATGGCATCTGTCCTTTACCTCATTTTCGGATGTTGTAATGACTATTGAATCTGACCAAGTGTCTTGCATTTATATTTTTGATCATCCTTCTCCTATGGATATCGTATCAAAAACTGATAAGCAGTAAACTACAAAGACATAAAAAAGCGTCAAAGAAAGTCTGCTTTCAGATTTTCAAGAATGAGCAAAACACTGACCATTAAAATCAAGTAAGACTAATGCATGCTTGCTGTAAGATCATTAATTTGAATGTGGAAGACTTCAGGATGATATGGAACTGACCAGGCTTTCGACAACTAATAAAACGTGGTAAAAACAATGTTTGCTAGGACTGTCCAATTTAAATGTGCTAGCGTAAGTGAAGCACAATAAGTACTCAAAATTAATAGCATAATGTGTTCCGTTCAGAAGTGCATTTGCACCTTTCAGAGGAGGATTGAATGATCTTTCAATCACTATTGACGTTCTGGAGTTTGAGATCTGCGAGAAATACCCGAATGGAATTTGATTATTCTTATTACCAGTGCGTCACCTCTGCTTCGCAGAGGCTCGCACTGGCTCTACTACCCATGTGCCTTACTCATTCTCGTAATATCGTGGTACTGAAACTCACCGCGCTAAGCCGACTACCACGAATAAAATGTAAACGTGAGATCGGTGATTTCGCGTGGATGAAACTTTTCGCAGGAAGACAAACACAAGTTTCAATAGGTTTTTGAATTTGTCATTGCTTGATAGTCACCATAAAGGCAATAGTCACCGTGTGCTACATCTCTGTGCAAAAATCTTCTCAAAAGCTTGGCTAGAACCTTCGCAAATTGACCATTCACGCAACCAATTCTTTTTGGCGCCATTTTCGTTATGTAGTAAACTTTTGACCACTTTTTGGGTCAAAGTCCATTGATTGCACATTTGCTTACAAACACATTCACGACTTTGCAAAAAGTGGTGATACGGACCAAATTTTGCGAGATAGAAGCCAGATGGATCCGCTTGGCGCGCAATTTCTGAGGGATCCACTCAACGAATCTACTCGGTGCTTCTACATGTTGGACTTTCATGAGGATAGCATGCGCTATGCAAAATTTGGGCTTAGAACGCTGGCTGGAACACGCTGCACGAATTTCGTAACAGACGGACACACACACACATACACACAAAAACACGTAAACAACCCTTAGCCCGTTATTATAAGGTCTTGATATTTAGGCAGTGTCCCGGCAGATTTTGCATTCCATCTTTTGGGCCATTTCGATCCGTAAGCTTTTGATTTGAGCTTTGTAACGGTTGAAAAAATTTCGTAGATTTTACTTGATTTCCGAAAGGCAGCTGGGACGAGATTTTTGATGGAAGGGGTCGGGAGACCCTGGCACGAAGAACCTGCTGCCCTAACTTTTGCTTTGGACAGCACGCACAATGCGAGAGAGCGGTGTTGGGGTCCCGCGCCGAACGGTAAGCGCCTTTTAAGCGCGGGACCCTTGATAAAAGGCTATTTTTTCGGCTCAGGGGGAACAGCAGCCGGACTGCGCTGGAAGTCAGTGGGATGACCAGGAACCCCAGCATAGCAATATACCCCAGGGCGCGAATCTGCCGAGACCCGTGTGTTGTGAGAAAAAGATATAAGACACAGATGAAGGATAAGTATGTTATGTGGATAAGATCAATTGTTGCAGATATGAGGATGACACGCATTCTGCAGCATGATACATAAGCCACATCGGTGATCATAAGAGGGAATTCCAGTGTCACACCTGGGCTGTCCAGCTACCAAGCCGCTGATGCCGCCTTCACCCGAACCACCTGCCTTCCCTGTTCGAGTTCATCAGACCTCTGTGATTCATCCACGTTTTCTTGCCGATAAATCAATTCATGTTATAGTCAGGGTCAAGCTTGTGATGGGACTGTCGCAACGGGGGGTCGTAAGAGGGTATCTAAAGTGGGGGGGGGGGGGTCGTAAGAGGAGGTAGTTAGACTAGAATACCCTAGGCTTCAAAGAATCGAAAAGCAAGTAATTAGTTATGTTCTTTACAATAAATCTATAAAAAAGTGGAAATCAGAATAAAAAAGATAAAAAATCTGTAGAAATTTTCAAAAAAAACATTTACATTATACAAAAGATTCAGAGCTCAAAACACTTTTGAAGAATGTATCATTTGGTAAAAATGCTAAATCTACGGATTGCCCTAGAAATCTTGCTTCTGAAGCCTTCCTGAAGTCTCACACACTCGACAAAAGCGAATGTCTTTACCAGCTGCGACCATCATAAAATTCTAAATCTTTTGTAATGTTTTTTACGGGCTAATATGATTTGTCTGTACTTTTGAGATGCTCCGCTATATCAGTGCACAATTTGGTGTTATTTTGTCAACTGTGGATTTTCTTATGATTTTATGTATGGTAGCAAAAAGTCAGGAGAGGGGGGTCGTATCTGGGTCGCATCTAAATTTCTTCGGAGCTATTGAAGCTTGTTGGCTGCAATTCTGCTGTAATATGAGGCCATCCTCCTACTTTCCCTCGTACAAATTGCAGGCTGTTTTATAACTTCTCTGGTAAGTTACAAAATTTTAAGCTCAAAAATCCCAGTTTTTGCTTTTTAGGATCGCATCTAAATTTACGAGAGTCGCATCTAAATTTTTTCGAGCTTACTGCTCCTCAAAAGCTGAAACTTTTTCTTTGGATAGTCTGGGCACTATACTATAGAACCTGCGCTTTGCAGCCTCTCAGTCTTTTCCTGGACTTAGTTACGAATTTTCAAACTACTGTGCTCATGCACGTTTTTGACGTCGTTCTGTACGGCGCCCAAGCGGTTTTTTTCGCGGGAAAAACTGTGGAAGAGGTAGGAAGTAAGCTTCTTAGTCGAAAACATCTTTTGTAGTTCAAGAATGTCATTTTTCTCCATGCAAAAATTTGTGTCGCCTACGGGAATCGAATTTGCTGGCCTGAAGTATGCTTGAAAATTCAAAAAAAAACTTCCAGAATCTCAAACATTATTAAAGGTGTGTATGTGTGCTACAGATGATGGACGCACCCATTGGCCTAGAAATTCTGCTTCCGAAACCTCACTGAAGTTCTCACGCAGGTATTTTTTGAGATTGACATTCGTTTATGCATGTTACCGCGAGGAATGTGGGCAGGGGAGGTAAAGGGGATAAATGAGTGAGGGTGGGGAGGGGGGGGGGGGGTCGTACGGATGGGTACCTTCAAGGGGGCGGTCGTAAATGAGGGTCCCGGATCGCATCAGCACGCTTGACCCTGGTTACAGTATAGCTGGTTCTTATAATAAACGACGCTATCCCACTGTGTTGCTACCGTCAAGTAAGCCGCTTCCACGGCGCTACGTTTACTGGTACCAGCCGAGTGGTTTCGATCCACGTGAGCAAGGTAGGTCCGGTTCAATTTCCGTATCAACCCTGTTGGGTTCTCCACCGGAAATAAATGTGGCTGGCAGCAGAAGGAGAAAACCGCGTTTCAAGTATTTTTCTTTTCCCTGTGTTTAGAGTTTTGATATGACCACGGCAGTGTCCCTTCAAAACTCGAGCGCTTATTGTAAATCAGTGATGATAATCTGCTGGATAACGACGGTTTTTCTTTTCCTCGAAATGAAAGTCATAACTTTTCGAGCGAAAATTAACGTTAGTAAAGATAGTAGTGCACTGTTGGCAAAAAACTGTATGTCGACAATAAACAAAGAAAGAGAGAGAAACCCAGCAGCCCCAGTTTTGTGTAAGCCGGCTAAGAAGATAAGAGAAAAGTGGATTCCCCTGCAGGGACAGTAGTGCCGAGCTGCGAACCGTTTTTGCATTGTTATGGTGGGCCATAGTCAAATGCACCGAAGAGGGGCAGCAACGTTTATATTGAGTTCAGTTGAAAGGCGCGCAGAGTAATTTAGCTGAGTTATAAAACAATTTTGTATTTCAGAGGCTCTGGTTCAATAGCTTACGTGTTCGCATCTTTCTTTTTTTTTCCTGCAGTTTGATACAGAGCTCCACGAGATTACTATTCGAGTAAAATATTCCTTTTTTCAACAAGTTCGTCCCCCGCATGCATGCTTTTTTCTCAATCGATCTAGTCCTAGCATGAGCCGGCCTGACCGCAAGCTTGATAACGCATGCCATCTTCATTCGCATCACCTGCGCAGGCCATCAGCTTCACTTATGGTGAGCCATTTTCGCTATTTTTTTATTCTTTCGTTAAAATAACAATATCGTCCTCTGCTTCCTTTTTTTGCAATATTGGTAATGTTACACGCTTTTGACTCACTTTTTCTCACTTTCGCTATTTCCTTGATATGTAAGTATTAAATTTATGTGTGATCGCGTCTCCTCCCGAAATAACAGTTTTATCGCAGGTTTTCAAAGCTTTTTGCATAGAAAAGTTTTCTCTACTTTTGTTCAAGATTCCTTTCTTCTCGTATATCCTAAGCACAACACCACTCCGATTCTTTCTTTGCTCTAATTTTTT